CTCCCATCCAGTCACATGGGTGGCAAGCCACTCCCACAAAGGAGGCCACACCCACAGAGTAGGTTCGAACAATTTTTGAAACCCACCACTGGTTGTTTGGCTCTTAAATACTGTGAGACACGCGGCCAGCAAGGCAGTGAAGAATTAAGGAGCAATATGGGCTTGTTCCCACAGACAACAGGAATAAGAGATATCTTAATGGATGTTCATTCTTCTAAAGGCGTAATGACCTACATTTGCCATTTACTTCAAAAATATCAAAAAATATGCAACCTCAACAGCTTTGCTACCACAAATTTCAGGAGCGTAATTTGCTGCGGTCCATTAAGAATAAATGTCTTATATTTGCAAAAACAAACAAACAAACAAACAAACCCCAACCCTGATTATTGCTTCAAAGACTACATCCTAACATTGTACAGCTTGTGAAATTGTTTTGATTAGTCTCTTCTCCAGATGTTCTTGGACAATAGATTCTATCCTTCCTGATCACTGATTCCAGCAGTTCCAAGAAGGCTCCAGACTCATTTGCACTATTCAGGTGACTCTGAGGGCAGGAATAAATCTCCAAGTGGCCTCAATGACTCTCAGAGAGAGAGAGAGTGCTAACAACCAGATGACTGCAAGCAATATAAATATTTCCATTCCCCATCATTCAGTCAGAACTGAAGAAGCATCTTGGATCATAAGTGAAACATCTTCAAGGAAAAACAAAATCCAGTTGCCTTTTGAAAAAGCACCTTTGGAGATTATATATACGGATTTTTCAAACCCAGTGAAGGGCTGTAAAAAGTGAAGGTAGATAGCAAAAGAAATAGAGACCCATTTCAATACAAGAAAGGACTCTGAGTGAGTGGAGGACTCTGAGTGAGATTGCGTAAATGAAACCAATGTCAAAACTGAGTAATGATATACTTGATTGGCTTAATTTTCTAAATTTGTACATATATATTTCATACACTGAGTTATAGGCTAACTAGGTGAACTAATTTCATAAGACACATAATAGTAAATTGGGTAGTTTTCAGTTCAGCATTTCATGTGAAGTTGTGAACACAGATTGAAATGGGAGTATATACGCTGATTCGTGGCACGACAAAAGCGCGAACGTCAAAAGCAATAGCAATAGCAGTGAGACTTATATACCGCTTCATAGGGCTTTCAGCCCTCTCTAAGCGGTTTACAGAGTCAGCATATTGCCCCCAACAACNGGTGCTTTGAAGCTTGACTCCCTCTTTTTTGGGGCAGCCCCTCAGATATTGGAACACTGCTATCAATTGCACCTTAGGGTGTTTATATTGAGTCGCTGTTAATTTTATTGTTGACTGCTACACCTCAAAGACAACTAGATTGGCCTCCTACACCATAGAGGGAGTGCTGTTTTCGCCTTCCCCAGCCTCTGAAGGCTTTCCTCGAGTCTCTGGGAGGGTGAAAACTGCCTTCCCCAGGCTCCAGAGGTTTCTGGGAGGCCAGTTTTCCCCTCTCCGAGCCTCCACGCAGGTCCTGCACTTACCTCACATCCAAAACAGGCCGTGCGGAGACTCCTGGGAGAGGCGTGGTGGGGTGTCGGGCATGGTGGGCGAGGCCAGCTAGGGGTGGGATTTGGAGGTTCTCTGAACCACCCGTAACATTAGCTACAGGTTCTCCCGAGCCCGGGGAAGCCCGTAGCAGCTTACCCCTGGCTTGAGAGCACCCATGGTCAGGCTGAGAAGTGGTACCTGGCCTCTGAATTTCACACCTCACCATTGGTAAGGTGATTACTGCACTGTCCCACATGGAACAACTTTTGTTAAGCCTATGGTCTTTTTTCTTTCTTTCTTTCTTTCTTTCTTTCTTTCTTTCTTTCTTTCTTTTTTCCTTCCTTCCTTCCTTCCTTCCTTCCCATCTTACAATAAAGGAATTCTACGTACCCTACATTCAAAGCAATAATAAAACCCAAATGCCAAAGATTTCAGTTACTTGAGAACTCTTATATTAGAGGTTGGTTCAGATCAGTGGTGGGTTGCCGGGGGTACGCCCCAGTACGGGTGTACCGGAGCCAGCCCGGAGCACTGGATACCATTCCATTCCGGTGCTACAGCCTCTCTTCCTACCATCATTTTACGTCTTCAGTGCTTCCACGCACACGCATAGCGGGTACAGCGTCTGCCTGACACTCTGCTGAGCGGCTGGAGTGTTGTGGAGACTCGCAGAACCACCAAGACGCATGTGTCTGCTGCGCACATCCACATGGATGCCGGCAAGCCCGTTCCAACTGTACGGATTGGAACAGAATCCGCAACCCACCACTGGCTCAGATCTCTAGTAAGAGCTACTATTGTTTCCCTGAAAGCAGCTATTAGGAAAGCAATGACATCTGAAAAACAAATAGACATGCCTGGTGGGGGCGGGGGAATAAAAAGAAAGTGTCACAAAGCTAAAAAGAAATCTCCAATACTTCCCACCTTGCAACTTCTTCCAATGGATATAAAATCAGGAATTTGATAGCATATTTTCTGTGTAACAATTGTGTAAACCTCTGATCATTTTTATTGACTCTATTTTCAGGACGCACTGCAGAGGATGTAAACGAATGCTTAGGCTTTAATTTAGGAGCTACTGTCACTGCAGATACTGCAGAAGCCAAAGCGCATATTAAAGCTAACCAATGTAAAGCCAGTGGATTTCAAAACGGTGAGTACATCACCTGCTACCTTCTTCTGACATTTTGATGCCCAAGTTTGCATATTGATTGGCACATTGTATCCCTCATACAAGAATTAGGATGTGTTGCATCAATCATATGCTGTATAATCACATTAAGTAATGAACAATACGGATATACATATTAATGCCAGTATCATACAATATATAATGAGCGGTGTGGTAGCCTAGTGGTGAGGATGCTTGCCTGTCACTAGGAAGATTGAGAGTTCAATCCTAGATAGCCACACAAAGAAGGAAGTATCTGCTGCGAACTCTGTGTGTGTGTGTTGTGTGTATACCATCTTGAATTTTCTCTCTCACACACATATACCAGACACCCTCTGTATGCGTGTGTGTGTGTGTGTGTGTGTGTGTGTGTGTTATTGGCAAATTTGACTTATTCCCTGATCAACATAATCTATTTCCATTCTTCATCTTTAATATGGATTTGTGCATTTCAAACTTTCGTTTAGTTATATACTAAAAAAAAAATCAGTTTTGTAATCCTTACCTATGCAGAGCACCCATCCACCTGCAGTTTGACATAGTGGATTTTATATTTCCCATGCTACAGTATGTTTCAACTGCATTTTATTTCATAGTGGCTAAGATGCTGAGCTTGTCGATCGAAAGGTTGGCAGTTCAGTGGTTCGAATCCCTAGCACTGCGTAACGGAGTGAGCTCCCGTTACTTGTCCCAGGTTCTGCCAACCTAGAAGCTCGAAAGCATGTAAAAATGCAAGTAGAAAAAATAGGAACCACCTTTGGTGGGAAGGTAACAGCGTTCCGTGTGCTTTCGGTGTTTAGTCATGCCGGCCACATGACCACAGAGATGTCTTCGGACAGTGCTGGCTCTTCAGCTTTGAAGCAGAGATGAGCATCGCCCCCTAGTGTCGGGAACGACTAGCACATATGTGTGAGTGGAACCTTTACCTTACCTAAGAAAAATATATACTATCACTGTATACTATTAGCTTGAGCCTTCTTTCAGCTAAACTCAACTCTTACTGACTGGCTGCTTGTTGTCTATAGCAACAAAGATTATTTGCCATTGTTTTCTTCCTGTTTTATTTTTTAAAAACTTTCCAATCTAGTGTATAAGCCTGGCATTTCCTCATAGTCTCCTGCCCAAATACTAATCATATCCAACCCCATGTTGCTTTTTCATGAACAGCCAAGATCAGCTAAGCATTGTAGAACAGTTAGAAATGTTGAGCTAAGACAAATCCAGTAAAATAGAGAGAGTGGGGTTTGTTTATCACTAAGTAAAGCAAGTCACTCTTTTTGTCCATGGCTTTCTGGTTTCAGGTGAGGAAGAAAAAATAAGATGCACATCACTGTGTAATATCAGTGGCAACACTTTAAATATTGGCTGGATCTGAACTTATTTTTTTTTGTTGTTGTTTCTTTTGTTTGTTCAGTGTTGACTCCTGCCTGGATTATTCCTGCCATTTTGTTGGCAATTTTTTGGGAAGTGGTTTCCCATTATCTTCTTCCCAGAAATGAATGGCCCAATGTTACCAGGTGGCTTTACACCTAACTAGTTCTAAGCCTGATGCCTTAACTACTAGACTGAAGTGGCTGTTCTGAACACCCAGAAAATTAATTCATTAGAATTAATAATACATAAACATAGTGTGGGTGCTGCATTTATTTACCGGTTTCACAGTTTTAGCATATTGCAAGACTCATTTTGTCAAACTGCTTCTGCATGAATCTGGGGAGAATGGTTTTCCAGGTAGCAAATTGACAATTGCTTTGAGAGCAATTGTTTCACACGCTGCGTATGGTGTGTTGTGTTCTATGCAGAAGTGGACCAGGGGTAGGTTCTGGCAGCCACTACCGCCATTTTGCTCGTGGTTGCACAGTGCATGTGTGCACTTTATGCGCGCAGCATGTGCATGTGCAGTACTATAAAAATGCCTCTGCGCAGTTCGGGGGCATGGCAGGCCTGGGTAGCTGCCAGTTCCAGTTATCTAGGCCGCCAAACCACTACCGGTTCAGCCAAACCAGTCTGAACTGGTAGGAACCCACTGAAGTGGACTGTACTCTCAGACCAATCTTACTGCAGTTTCAGGTAACATATTAGCAGCCATGTAACCTGATCAGATTATCCAATCCGGATGAATGTCATTGTGTATGTAGTCTGCTCTTTCACAGAAATGTTGTGTTGTTGGGTCTTGGTAATAATAAATTCCCAGGGAGGAGGGCTATCTACCAGCTGTAAAGAAGATGATGGTCCAACTCTTCCTTCAGAGACCATTGATGGACTAACTATTCTGGACATTTTTTGTCCAGCTGTAGCCTTTCCTTTAGGCTGAAATTGATGGAGAAGATAGTTGTATGATAGCTCCTGAGAACTCACCAAGTGAATCATCTGGACCCTTCTCAGTCAGGATTCAAACCTGGATAAGAGATTGAGATGTCATTGATCATACTTCTATATTATCTCTGGCAGGAACAGGATGGAATGTTTCATGGTCTTAACCTCTCAAAGACTTCAATACCATTGAACATCAGAAAAACTGACAAGAATTTGCTAGCATGTCACCAAATTGGGGCCATTTAATCTGGTTGCATTTTGGAGACTTATGGGATATGTGCTGTCATGGGATGTGTGTTGTCAGCCCATAGATTGACATTAAGGCTGGCTTGCAGGCATTGATGGAAAAAAGGAAAGTGAAAGCGTCTTTAGAAGCACAGCATCTCTATGTCTCTAAATATGTGAATCCCAATCTTTTGGGCACCAGGGACCAGTTCTGCAGAGAGAGGATTTCCCATGCACCAAAGGGGGCATAATTTTGTGTTGCCTTCATCCTGTGGATGGGGCTTCACTTATTTGCTCAGACTGGTTTCTGGCATGCTGCAGACCAGTGCCAATCCATGGGTTGCGGACTCCTACTCTAAACCATGAAATAATTGAAGAGTGACTGAGCAAGATGCCTATTCTAAAAGATTGCCCCAGTCATTTAGGCACCATGGAATTCTAGCAGAAATTTCTGGATAATACATTGGTTCTCTGGATCACCAATATACAAGATAGAATAGGCAACACCATGCCACCTGGAAGATAATCCCAGAAAATCGCTTGATACCAATGAATGTAGAAAGATTTAAATTCCTTAATCTGGGCAAATGTAGTTGGCAGAAACTCTTGGGTAATTCATTTCCAACTATAATCAACATCATCATTTTCCTTTCTTCCAAGTGAAAGCGAAAAAAATCAAATCAAATGAATGTTCAGTTGCTGGTATCATCACCATCATCACCACCTCTTTTTATTACCCAAGAAAAATCTTAAGACTACTCTTCGTATTATTTCACCTCCTTTTTTTTTTCTCCGCCAGTTGATGAAGTGAAACGGAGTGGGATTATCCAAGATATAGTCTCTATGGTTCAAGGTGGGACAACAGCTGCCTTAACCAAGTTGAACGAGTTGCTTTCATCAAATGTAAGGCTAATTGATGTAGAAAACTATGTCGAATGGGCTGCTACACTACCTCAAGCTCCCGCAGTGATAAGACAAGAGGTGAAAGGGTTTTCTTTTATCTATAAATAAGTTGTAGAAGTTTTCAATAAATGTAAACCCACAAATGAAAGAGTTTTCCTCTTTCTTGAAGAAATATTTTAAAGGTTGCAAATTTTTCAGAGTCAAAGATTCTGATCAAGTAAAGCTAAAGGCGCACTCCAGTGAAGTTTAACTGCTGTGGTTTCTATGATGTTTTCTAGGAATGGCTCACCATAGCTTTCTTCCAAGTTGTTTTTCACTTTACATTCTGGTCAAAAATCCTGGGATTTCCTAATAATCCATCCNAACTCTTCAAAATTTCCACTACCAGTTCTCCAGAACCAGCTGAATACTACCTCTGGACCCAACCTATTAGAAGATGGAGTCCCTTGAACATTATAAGAGACTTTGAATGCCAGTGGACAGCTGACGTTGAGTGAAATCAGTCTATTTTGAGAGGAGGATTTAGGAGATTTTGAGAATTTAGGATTTTGGCGCATTGCCTTCCAAGCAGCTAATCTGTGTATTAAGTTCTTCTCGGTAATGAGCTGCTCCTTCCTGGTTTGAAGAAATTTAAAGTCTTCGTTTCAGCCACTACCTTCTTTAGGAATTGGCAGCACTAAATGTGAGCAAACTTGCTCTTCCACTTTTTAACCAATAAGATCAGCCTTATTATTGAGCACAGAGAGACACTGTCCACTCAGACAGACAGCAGGTGAGAAGCAGTGATAGGCTGAAGAGTAGATTTTAATGGGCCATGAGCACCACACACCACCATCTAAGATAGGTTTGCTGTCCTTAATTTTATGTCTTATTTCCATCTGCTGAGGGTTCGCAGGGGTTCGGGAGAACCTCTAGCTAAGATTCTGTGCAGTTTGGAGAACCTCCAAATCCCACTCCTGGCTGGCCATGCCCACCCCTCCCCTTCCCTCCCAGGAATTCACACCCAGCCTATTTTGGATGCAGATAAATCCAGGGTGTGCATGGAGGCTTGGGGAGGGCAAAAAACAGGACTACTGGAAGTTCGAGAAGGCTGGAAACAGGTCTGTTTCCAGCCTCCAGAGGGCCTCCGGAGCTTGGGGAGGATGTTTTTGTCCTCCCGGAGGCTCGACAAAAGCTCTGGAGCCAGGGGAGGGCAAAAAGCCCTCCTCCCTCCACACTGTGGTTCAGGAAGCCAACTAGGCCACACCCACCCAGCAACCAGGCAGAGAACCTCTAAAATTTTTGAAGCCCACCCCTGTTCCATCAGTTCCTAAATATTGAACAATACTGTTCCTGGTGCAAAAATTCCATTTACCAACCCCATTTCTACCATACTTTATTCTGCAGTGGAAACAATGAGGTATCAGTGCTCACGCCTTTCTGATTTTGAGTTCAAAAGCTCGGGGTTTCCCATCTGCCCTTCGCCTCTATTTGTACAAATAGATTTGCCAAACTGAGTACAGGTACAACTAGGCCCAGGGGACTTCTCGGTAGTCAACATGAGCATTGACCTTCATTTGCTTTCACGTTTTGTTTATTGTCCTTTTAATATTTAACAAAAATGAACAAAATAAAAGACTTGAATCTGGGTCTGATTTACTTTTTAATAGGCCTACCACCATGTCTATCTCTTTGCTTCTTATAGGAGTTCTCTGCATTTTAGGAGCAAATGGTTTTGCCTCTGCAGGGAAAGCAAGGTGAGTTCATTTTATGGGATAGAAAGTACATTTGGTAGCATTTGTGTATGATCTTCTCCAAATTTCCTGGTACTCTATTTTTAATTTCTGGAAGACAGAAGGTAAGAGAACTACCTGCTTCCCGCCGTTTTCCAGATGTGTCTGAATAATCCTATTGAATGCAATAGAAATTATTTCCATGCATAAAATAATCAAATTGTTAAATTAGCCTTATTTTATTAGTAATAGATTGTTAAAATTTATGTATCTTTGAACCCAGTTTGTGGATACTGGCATTTCAAACCAAAAATCAAATATTTTTTCCATTAGAGATATTCATAGAAGTATAATTTAGTCAAATTATGATTCTACTTTATGTAATCGGTCTGTTCTTTTCCATCTTGTCCAAATTGCATATCACAAATGTAATTTGTATTTGTCCACAATTTTTATTCTTACAAAAAAAATGAAAGGAAGAAAGGAGGGTGGGAAGGAAGGAAGGAAGGAAGGAAGGAAGGAAGGAAGGAAGGAAGGAAGGAAGGAAGGAAG